TTCCAAGAAAGGTCCCAAAGTCAATCCTAAGTTCCAAAAAAGGTGCCAAAGTCCCGACCGTAAGTTCCAAAAAGTGCCAGTCCGAAGTTCCAAAAAAGGTGCCAACGTCCCCACCGTAAGTTCCAAAAAAGTGCCCGAGTGAATCCTAAGTTCCAAGAAAGGTCCCAAAGTCCAGAACTTCCACAAGGTCCCAAAGTCAACAAGACCTAAAATGTGCAAAAGCCAAGGGCTTCTTAAGCCCCCTCCCAGCCCTGTTTGGCTTTGATTCAACTTCATTTATACATTGTAAACTCCGTCATCACAGTCACCCATGTGAACTTTCAGTGGAATACGAAAGTTCAAAGACCAACAACACCTTCAGAAAATAATCGAATGAACATCGCGAAAAATCAGTACTCGAGATGAGCATCTGAAACTGAAATTATCATTGAAACTACACTTCAGCATACAAGGGACTCTTCCCGGTGGATCCCATTCATTCTCTTTTCCCAACGGCCGTCCTGTCACGGGGTTGTTGTTGTTGTCGTTGTTTTTCGGTGCCATGGCACCCAGTAACCCATCACTTCTTTTCCAGGGTGCCCGGGGAGGGAGGGTAGCGGGGGTCGGGGCGCGGAGGAAGGGGGGGGCGGGGCGCTGGGTATCCCGTTATTTCCAACCCAGCGTCCCTCTGTTACTTATGGGCCTCTCAACACGTCTACCACTTCCGGTTATAATTCCATAGAAATTGGGTAGGAAAAACACGTTGATTTGTCCCAAATGCAGTTCCCCAAACTCACAAGCGGGACATACACACACCAAAAACAAACACACATAATATTCCAACCCTGGCTCCCTCCCCTGCAGCGCGCCCCCTCAACACCCCTCGTTTTTTTTTCTTGTGGTCTTTGAGGCGTTACTACTCACCAAGAAGGTTAGCTGTTTGAACCGGATGTCGATTGTCCCGATCATGCCGATCAGTGCGGATTTGAAAACGCCATCCCTATTCCCAACGGATATATCGCACTCCACACCGCTCTTGGAATCGACAAATTTCAGCACTGGAATTACTGCCCTGCTGACCAAATTCACAGCACGCACACTTTTCGATGCTGCAGACGTAAACACGCAAACCAAACCAAACGGAACGGTATTTTTCCCATTCGCCCCGAGAGCAGCCCAAGAGGGAAAAAAAAAAAAAAAAAAAAAAAAAAGAAGCGGTGTCAGCAAAAGACGAAGTGCAAACAGAAAAAAGAACGAAAGAAAGAAAGAATGGCGTACACAAAAAAAAAAAGTTGAAGAGAAACGTTGGAATGTCAAGTCTATTTTTGTCAACAAGGATGCAGTTACAAGGCTCGATCAGTGGTATGTTCATCTGTTCAAAAGGGACGATCCTGGCCTTAAAATTGGGGAGGTTCGTGCTTCCTGGCCACAAACATGGGAACAGCAACGGCAACGTCTGCGCCTCAATGTCATTTGCCTAAGTGTGGCACTACGTAAGAAAATGGACATCAATCACACCAGTCCCAGCCCCCACCGCCCCAACAAATGCACTTGTATACACGTCATGAACACAAAGACTCGGCGTCTACCGGACCCAAGAGGGGAAAACCGAAGGGGTGTGCAAAATTTTGAGTACCCCAACTTTGGCAATTTTTAGTTCGTTTTTCTTTATTTCCGGCAACCAAACAAACAAACAAAAGATCAGGGATGTAAATAAGCTAACGCCGCATCAGAGATTATTATTAATAATAATAATAATAAACAAAAATGGTTTAGGCCCTTTAGGGAATGACGAAAAGATGTTCCCACCACACCGAATGCATAGCCATTCCTCCTAATGCTCCTAATACCACGGAAGCAATACTGCCCAACAAAGAAGATTGATTGTCATGCTGGATTATAAAAACTTTTAAAAAAAAATGCAGAGTCCACTATAATATAATCATTATAATGCCAGAAATTTAAGATCAATTTCTAACAAGTTGCATTCGGTCAAAGTCTCCATCAGAGGTTCATGTTTGGCAGGCCCGGGAGGTCCTTTTTTTTTTTTTTTTTTTTTTTTTTTTTTTTTTTTTTTTTTTTTTTTTTTTTTTTTTTTTTTTTGGTTCGTAACTTCGTACGAATAGGGGCTCAGTGGCGCTGGTTGTTTAAGGGGCGAGCTTCAACTGTCGCTGTTGCCATGTTTGTGCTAAGGAAGCATGAACCTGCCCAATGCTAAGGCCAGGATCATCCATTCTGAGCTGGTGACCAGTTGGATGAAACAGAACCTGGTGTGCATGTGCCCTGTCGCTGAATGGTACACACATGTAACTGTCGATAAACAGATCATCAGTTCAAAGTTCAAATCCTGGCACATACGACAATAATCCTATCCAACTTATTAGGGCCTACTCTTCCCTTTAATAAAGGGAAACTTCGGAAAGCCAAAAGAAAAAAAGAGAAAAAAAAAAAAGTGAGAGCAAGATGAACAGATGAAGCTCTTTTCAACTTACAATGTTACAGCTTACAATACTTTACCCCCC